GCGTTCTACTCAAATTTACATATTCTGGCATTGGCAGTTCCAGGGGAAAGTAAGGCTTGACAGGAAAGATAGTTTAAACTTAAAATAAATGTTAGTTAAAATAAATATAAAAACCCTACAAGTTAACAAAACTTAAATTCTGCTTGTGTCTAAGAATACAACGATATTTAAAATATTTACAAATAAAATATTAAATTGGAGCCTCACCAGTTGCCTAGCATTTGAAGATTGTTAAATACTAATTGTTTGTTGCGAAATCTAACCCAGGCTGCATGGTTGGTTTTCGTAGTTTTCTAGGTTCTCTATGAAAGCATCTGAACTAAATAGCTCCCATGTTCTTTCTATGTTCCTGTAACCAACTAACCTAGTTTAAGCGCAATTTCCAAGTGAAAGTTACTAGCAAAACCCGAATAACTCATTAAAAAGTCATGTAGCTTGCCAATCGGGAGTAACATGAAAGATAAGGCGCCAATAATTGAATTGCTGGTTACGGTACGCTGTTTCTAAACTTAGATGGTCATTCCTTAATTAAATATAATTGATTTGTAACTTCTACTAGAGCTGACGGTTAAGAACTGAAGTGTAAATAAATAATATCGTGTGCAATCTTAATTAATATAAATTAGAAATATTTGCATTCAGACAAAGTGTGTGTGTGATTATGGCAAAGCCTCGAGAGCTATCTGCCTAAGGGGAGGGATGCCTTCATGGAGGACTTTCTAAGGAAAAGTGGCTCGTACACACGTTACACATGGGGAAAACCACAAAACGCCCATGCAGCCAGCCCGTTCGCGGGATTCGAACCTCGGACCCAGCTACCAGTGTTCAGCGACTTTACCGCTCAGCTGCTGGTGGGCCCCATTCAGACAAAGTTTTTTGAAATATTTGCAATTACTTTATAAGAAGAATTTAATTATAACCATAATAATTACTTATTATATTACTGATGATTAGGATTCAGTTCTTGACAATTACATTCTAAATTAGAATTTTAATTCTATAATGAAAATATGCTATGCACAAAAATACATTTTAGGATAAAAATGAGTTGATTTTTTAAGTTTAAAAACTTCTTCATTTCATTTAAAAAACATCGTACCCTCGTTGTTAATTGAATCCAGAATGTTGGGTGTCGTTTATATAATTATTCTTACTTGTCCACAGAACCTGCTGACTTATCCAGCCTTTAAGTAGCTGCAGATTATTTCTATATAACCATTGAACTTCCATTAATTCGGTCTCTAGAGGGTTGTATGTTTATATCATACTTTTATAAAAGTGATTATTCTAAATCTTATGTTTCTGTAAAAATATACTGTGCTTTAAGAATCTGGATGATAGTATCAGCCGCTCTTTCAGCCACTTCATAAGCAACAGTTTGTTCAGAAATAAAGTATGCAGTTAATGTCATAAATTATTTTCTTAAAATTCAAATAAACATCAAAACGAAAGTTCTTCAGTTTTAGACAATTCGATTTAAACGAAGTAAAGGAAAAAAGCAGACGATAAAATGCCGAACGATAAAAATTTACTTTTACAAATATTTTTTTAAAAAGGGAAAGGAAGAAGATTTTTAAGAAATAGTTAAAAATTTGAATAATATTATCTATAATTTAAAAAATAGCTTTTCATATAGTATTGACAAATATTTCTTATGCATCATTGAGGGAAAAAATTTCATATAATTAATTCTCCGTAAAATTTTATTTGAAATTGAAGGTTAAAAATAGCTGTGGCAATTCACTGTAACAAAAATCCATAAACCCCATTTGGCATTATTATTGCTCAAAAAAAAAAGATGCCAAATTTCAAAACGCGAAAATATGTAAATTCGTGTATATCTTAGAAAATTTTGAATAAAAAAGTCTAATTTTTTGCAGATATGCTTAAAAATACACCTACTTTAAGAAGATGGTAAAAATTTTATAGGTTATAATTCAAAATTTTTTTTGAAAAACTTATAAAAATTATTTAAAAATAGAAAAAAAAAAAATAATTTAAAAATATAACACAAAAATGGGTAAATTTTATTTGGAATGAACCTAAATTTCGAAATGTGAAAGGAAAAATAATAAAATTTTAATAAAAAAAGAGATATTAATAAATATTTACCAAATTCAATTAACATTGAGGAGCTAAAATTTTGAGAGCTAATATTTAAAAAATTACTCGTACGATTTTTACAAAACTTGGCATTCTGGCATAATTTGAGTCATAGAATCGAAATATGGAAAAAAATTGGTATGTTATTTCAGAAAAAGTCCGATTTTGTGTCAAAATTCCTATGTTAGATAAGTGCTATATATAAATCTAATATATATCCTAAGTCGCGCTTTTGAGACATAAAAAACGCAGTAGAACGGGAGAGCACTGTCCCATTTTTTTTTTTTTTTTTTGAGCAGTTTACATCTGATGCAGTGCTTTCTATGTCGCTTCTTAGTCTTTTAGTCATTGTCGGAGTATCAGGTACATTGTTGGAGCAGGAAGGTATCATAGCATTCACATTTAAATGGAGAAAGATTTGGGTCCGACCGCCCACCCACCATGGAGCCCAACAAGGGGACGCAGATTCCTATGCCAGGGCTAGCCGGACCTATATGCAATCTGAAGTCCCAGAGTCGGCTTTTCCAAAAGCAGGTACTCCCGAGAGCTTGTCCCCAAACCACTGACACAAGGACTAGTGACCAGCCAACTGACACCCGTGAGAACGACAAGGTGCCTCCCATTTAACTGAAGCAGAGGTCAAAGCAGTGTATTGGAGACAGTACCTCGCTCCTCAACAACCAGGACCCTCCTTTCCAGTGACACGGGTCTCCACGCACGGCAAACACGTGGGCGGTTTTCTCACCACTCGAAGAACTAGGGACAAGGCTACTCCAGTTTCTTATGACGAGCCCGAACCTCGAAAGAGGAAATGACATGGGAGAAGGAAAACAGGAAAAGTTGCAGTTAGAGGAGAGGAGGCAGAAAGGAGGAGAGATCACTGGGGCTCCAGGCTTGTGACACCTGATCACCGAGACAGTAATCCCCTGAAGGATCTTCACCTGCTATTCTTTAGCTGGGCATGTTTGAATGACCTTCACGCCTAGGCTGGCCCTGCCAGGAGCTACGCTCCCGACGTACTTCGCCCGTTCCGCCCAGTGACACCCTCCCCGCCATGTTGAGGCAGCATACCAGGAATTGGGGGGAGGGGGGGTTAAAGCATATGGATAGGCATCCTAATAATACTACCCTGTATTTGAAAGAAGTTATTACTTTCAATTTTTTTTCCTTACCTAATGTACTGCATATATTTTACACTGTTACCATAAATCAAAAGTTTCTAAATCATATGCAGGAAAGGCTAGAAAATGCTATCATTTGCATGCTACTAAAAATGCAACATCAGTTTAGAAAAAAAATTTAAGATTTTAATACATTATGTGATGAGCAATAAGATGGGATGAGAAGTACTGATAAACATTTTTTTTCAACAAGGAGATCATAAAATCTTAGGATTCATGCTCTCTAGTTTCTAGAAAACAGCAGCAAGCTTCAGTACTGGTACATAAGCAACATAATCTGCATGAATTAAAAATGAGAAACATTTCTAGTTTAATAATTTTTTTTTAAATTATGTGTTTATGATTCTAAAATAATAAAACTGCAGGAACACATTAATAATATATTTTCAGTATTTGAAAGCTTTTAAAATCAGTTGCATCATAAAATTATAATTTAAAGAATGCTACACACTAGTAAACCACAAATAAATATCACAATAAATAAAAGAAAAAAAAATCTTGAATTATTCCGATTTATATATTAATTGAACTCTTAATGCAAGCTAAAAAAGGTGTCAAAAATTCCAAAGTTTGAAATGAAATATCTCAGTTAATTTTTGCTGCACCTAACTGAAACATTTTCTGTTTAGTTTTTTACAATGCATATGAACTTTTAACAAATACAACTACAGGGATCAGTGACCAACATATAATAAATCAGAATTCAAAATTTTAATAAAACTGAATTTTTAAATTCAAAATTGTAAAAAAAAATGAATATTTGTATCATATAAAACATTTTTTAATAACTGCAAATATATGTTTATAATGAGTTTTATGAAAATAAAGATTGTATTCTTGGGGAGAACTGCTTTTATGTGGTAGTCATAATTCATTGACAGTACTAAAATATTTTCCATTTTCAACACAGAAATTGTTTAGAATATTTTTTTGGCTCACAATTCCAGAAATTTTTTCCATAATCCTCATTTGCAGAGTCATCAGTTTTTCTGCCTCCTTTTAAAGCAGAAGTCATGAAAAATGTGCTATGCCCTTACTAGGACTTGAACTCGAGATCTTCTGGTGGGTAGTCAGATTATGCCATTAAGGCATGCAGTAAAGAGGGAGAAAATACCTTACACTCTCTCCCACTTAAAGGGTGACTGGGTAGGAGGGGAACCAGTCATCAAATCTTGGCAGTGACAAATTATCATCCATCACCTTTTAGTTTGAGCACCACGTGTAGAGAACATTAGATATTTTGTTTTGGAGCAAAAGATGTGAAAAATGCACAGTGCTCTTGCTGGAACTTGAACTCTAGATGCACTTCTAATTACAACACAAAGATCTGTGATAAAAGAGGGACAAAATAACTTATATATTTCTTTTCTGAAAGATTTATTAAGCATAAGTATTTATTCTTAATAAACCAGTTTTCAATTATTGTTATAATCCTTTCTCAAATTAAATACAAGTATATATTTCCAATGTTTCTATGATACAGAAGAAATATTCAGAAGTTTTCTTGATTTTATACATACAATAATTGAATGATAAATTTCAAGAAGCTTGTATGTTTGTGAAAGCTGTAGTTCAAATAGGTATTTTATAACATACAAAGAGTTTAATATCTTTTACATATAATAAAGATATATTTCTGCAATAAAATTAAGTATATATTTAAATTTTTTTCAAGTACAAAAAGTAGTGCTTATAATACAAGAGGAAGAACAAAAATGTTTTAAAAAAATCGCATTTATTTTTCAAAGCACATTTTCTTTTACATCACTGTCAGCTACAAGCAAAAATAAATCTCTGACAAAATCACACATATAACAATTACACACAATGGTAATTTTCTACTGCTAGCAATTCTTAAGAATATTGCTAATGATGTTAAAAAAATTTTAATACATAAGAATTTAGACAAAATCCCTGCTAATGGAGGAAGAACATTAATTTGAAAATCTGGAGAATGATGAAGATTTGTCACATAGCAAAGCAATTTGCACTGGAAAAGGCATTTCTTTTTCAGCTATAGTACAAAAATACTATAAAGCATCATGTGCATCATTTCTAAAAATGGGACAAAGTACTTCTTTGTTACATTACAACAAATTTTCCTTATATTCTAGTTTACATATTCATAGCAGATACTGGAATTGGACCCTTGATAAGAGTAGGAGAGCAAAATTTTCTAGTCTTAAGGTTAAGTTGTGATAACCTCTTGAAACTGTGCATTAAAAGGCTTAAAAACAATACATATTTCTAAATGTATTCATAATTAAGGGTAAAAGTGATACACAATTAAATATTTCAAAATTTTCTTAAATATAATTAATAATCAGATCTGCTTGAAAATATGTCAGTAGTTACTACACCTATAAAATTCAGAAAATATATTCTCAGTATATGGCAACAAATTAAGAGAGCTCATAACATTTTAAGGAAACTTGCCTTGTTAAAACACAATTTAAATAAAATTAAAATTTTACAACTAAGTTGTTTATGCTTTAAATGCATAGATATATTAAGACCATTTTTGCCGAACTGTTCCTTAAAATCATTTTAAGAAATACACAATGCATCTATAAGCTTCAGGAGTGAATTTTTCAAGCAATCACTTGGCCAAGCGATGAATAGTAGCAATGGTTATTAATTCAATACAAAATGCTTTGTATAAAATACAACTTGCTTATGAAAAAAATGAAATGAAAATTTTTGCACAAAATTAGGCAGCTAATATGCAGTTAGAAATTAAGAGACTGAACATAAAGCAAAAGATTTTTCTTCTCACACAATAAGATTATCATTAACCAGTTATTCTAATGAAAAAAATGTAAATCACACAAATTATCTAACTTGGCATCAATAGACTGTTCTTTAAAATAAAACAAGGAAGCCATATGGAAAACATTGGAAAAATTCAGAAAAATAAAGTGAAAAAATAAAAAGCACTCCCAAAACTGATTTCAGTAAAGACATCCAAAAATTTATGATCCAGCCTAGCTGACTCAACTAGTCTTTTGACCAGTCTTTTCATTTAGCAGTAAAAAGAACATAAAAAGCTAAACACAGATAAAGATATTTCCTTTAAATCTCGATTTGTTATGAATTCTGTCTTTGTAGATGTATTGTGTAGACAGAGACAGCATTTTGAACAATGGAATTAAGTAAATTTCTATAACATCCCAAAACAGCAATAGTCATGAATTTTTAAAAATGAAAAAAAAAAAAAACATTTTTTTAATATTACTAGAATAAAATTCTTGATCATCCACACCAACAAACTTGAACACTAACAGCTAATTTTATCACAGTAAATAGAATTTGCAACAAAATTACCTAGCAAATGTAAATGCTAAGTAACAACATCTATAAATGGCAAAACCAATAAGTTTGGAAATATAAATGACTCAGTTGAAATTATAAGTTATGAAATATACATTACTAAACCTTTTTAACAAACAAAATATCCCTAGTAATATAATATTAAGGCTGAGAAAGTATTGCCTTCTAATTCTTTAAAAACAAAGCAGTATCTGAAGCAACTAAGTACTTATGACCATAGCCCAAATATTATATATATATGTATTTTAAATGGACACAATATATACACAAGTGCAATCTTAAACTGTTGCTTTAAAAAAATCAGACAACACATCAAGGTCAACTTTAGCGTCCTAGTACCTCACAGGCACTAAAATATTAGAACTTCTTACACATTTGTACATGTAACGAGTTAAACACAACATTCATTTTTTAAAACATTGCAAGCTCATTCAGAACAACTATGTATAATATCTTGTTACAATTCCTACAGTAATAAGAAAACCATAATCAGTGATTTTAATTATCAAAAATCACATTATTATCCATAGAACGGAAATTACATATTATGGCACATTTCATATTACAATATACACACACATAAAAAAAAAAAAAAAATATTTTATGAAAAAGAAAAACATTTAACTTAAGAAAATTTTTAAGCATATTTTATATCACATTTGAAATATAATACTAGTTATTTACAACTAAAGACTAGAACTGATTAAAAAAAATTAACACAGATTTTGTAAATTACTTTCCCAAAGTTCAGGTAGGATGCCATAAGACAAAGCAGTATTTTCACATGCATACATTATGTTTAATATGGTCAAAATGAGGGTTCAAAAGGAAAAGTTAAAAACACCCGATTAATGTTACAATTCCTACAGTAATAAGAAAACCATAATCAGTGATTTTAATTATCAAAAATCACATTATTATCCATAGAACGGAAATTACATATTATGGCACATTTCATATTACAATATACACACACATAAAAAAAAAATATTTTATGAAAAAGAAAAACATTTAACTTAAGAAAATTTTTAAGCATATTTTATATCACATTTGAAATATAATACTAGTTATTTACAACTAAAGACTAGAACTGATTAAAAAAAATTAACACCGATTTTGTAAATTACTTTCCCAAAGTTCAGGTAGGATGCCATAAGACAAAGCAGTATTTTCACATGCATACATTATGTTTAATATGGTCAAAATGAGGGTTCAAAAGGAAAAGTTAAAAACACCCGATTAATAAAAAAACATATTATTTCAAGAAAAGATGGAGAAAAAGATATCAAAATCTATGCATAATACAGAAAATAAATTATACTTTAAAAAGGAATAATGTGATTTTAAAGAAAAGTCAATAAATATTACTGATTAATTACTTCATATGAAAATACAACTAACAATTCATCCTATATGTATAAAATATAAAATAGATACCAGGCCATCAAAAGTCAACTTTTCAAGTGTTGTCATTTCTTCAAAAACAGTATAGCTTTCTCAAAGAAACTATCCCATAAGCATATGATTTTGCCTGGACGGCTATGCAAAATCCCCAGTAGACACATTGGTGAAATAAACTTTAAATTTGCACTTCCTCTTTAAACTAGCAAAAGATTAAATCCAAATCTGAGCACATGTTTTGAAAATTATATGAAACCTGAGAAAAAAACTATATTACATTTCTGATAATAATAAATATCATTTAAAAAGTCAGTACTTAATAATGGCTTTTAAATACCTGAAGTCATTTCTTCATAGCTTCTGCAATTTTATCTGCTATCCACTGAAAAGTCAAAATTCACTTTAAAAAAGTGCAAAGAAAAACTACAGTACATCTATTTTAAGCCTTATTAAAATAATAATAATAAACAAAGATTTTCAGATTGACACAAGAACTTACAGATTATAAATTAAAAAAAAGTTATTTCAATAAATTCAGAACAAATTTCGTCAAATGTCTGCAGGAACTTCAGTCTGACAAAATAATATTTCCTAAAAGATGAAAGGAGCATGGAATATAAATGTGATCTAGATGAATAGGATGATATTTTTTTTTTTTTTTTTCAAATGAAATGATTACATATAAAGCATACCGTTATTTGAAATCCCCAGCATTGCCAGGCATCTTTTTCAGTGTTTGAGAATATATTTTATCCACTATTCTGTGAACATATTTGGTTAAGAGTGCATTCACTAGTGTGAAGGCCTAGTCAAATCGGATCACTACTTACCACCAACACTTAATGATAGTCCTTTATTTCATTCTCTAATACACTTCCTGCGTATTTATCATTCTCACATATCTCCACAAGGTTAACAAAAACGATACCCAGTATATAGCAGAAAATAAATGGTGATTTGAACACACCAAATTACTTATTGTGACACATGAAAAATCCACGAACCTAAGTTTCATTTGAATGCTCAGTCTTTGCACCAGAGGCATAAATTACAGCAGAAGTTTGTTTATCCAAAATAAATGCAGCAGAGGCACCTTGAAGAAAATTTTTTCTCAGAAAAACTATGGTAACTATTTTAAGAAATTACTGGTAAAAATATATAGAAAGAGTAAAACCTCGATTACTTGGTGTAATGGTATTATAATAGCCTCGGATAATCAGAAACTCAATAAAGATTAAATTTTAAACCATTCCAATTTTTCTTTCAACAAAACTCTCTGAAATTGTTTATTTGAAATTCTGAAAATAAGTGTGCAAATACAACTAACCATTAAAACTGTAACTCTCTTTTATTTCATAACAAAATTTATTTCCTTCCATTAACAAAGGCAAGATTTTACTTCATGACAAAAATATTCATGAAAAAACTGGAATAAAAAAAAACTGTGAAATTTTGTTAAATTTCTTACATGCACTTTAATGAAACATTTAAAAAAAAAATTATTTAACTTTTTCTTTCGTCATAGTCCTATTACTCTATCAGCTACTGCATGAAAGTTTTTGAACAACAAAATATGATTAGAAGCATCAGGATTGTTTTAACTATTAAACAGCTTTGCTCTAGGCTTCAGTGCCTATTGTTGGCCAAGATGTAGAACCTTTGAATGCTGACAGTTCAACTTGTGTTTAAATCCTGGTGAATATGCTGGCTGCATGGAAGTTTTCATGGCTTTCTCTATGTGTAATGTGCATATGAATCAATTCTCCTTATCAAGTCCTTCCCAAAGGCATCCCTCCTTTTAGGCAGAAAGCCACTGTGTGTTTTGAAAAAAAAAAAAAAAAAAAAAAAAAAAAAAAAAAAAAAAAGACTTAAACATGGCTGTCACACTTTTTCATTTTCATCCTAAGAAGCAATGAAATTTTTGTTGTTTTCCGAATCTATGTCATAAATGACTAATTCAGCATTTTGCTAAAATTTGAAAATTCAGTTCAGTCTTTTCTACTATTATCCATTCCAAAGCATCATCCGTTTATCCTTTGAAATATGTATATACATTACTTGTCAGTTAACACTGCTTTCCTTTTTAATCATTGTAAATTAAATTTGTTACCACATTTCACAATAAAATGGTTGTTAAATGACCCATTAGATCAGAAAGACCAGAAAACCAGTCAGTGATAAAATTCCCAAACGTTACTGATTTATGCATTCTACATATTAATAATTATTTGTTTAAACCAATAGTCACCTTGATTAAAAGAGACTTATATCTAATGGAAGACTGGTTAGAAGAGATTCTATGGGACAACATAGGTTATAATAGTTATAGAGATTAAATAAGGCAAAAAATTGAAAAAAGTGCTAAAGTTCTATTTTTACAAAGTCAACAAAAAAGTTCTTGCCATTTCAGATATGACAATGGAAGAGTGAACCCCAACATAAAAATAGTTGCCAAACCTGGCCATGAAGCATTTAGGATGGGAGTCCGGACACTGACCAAGAATATAAAAGTGCGCTGCATCAGTACTTCAAACATAACTCACATAGCGACTGATTGAAATGGATGTATCAAAGACGCTCGATCGGACTTGTTTGCTGTATGATTTTAAAGTGGGCCCATCAGCAGCAGAATCAAATCGCCAAATTTGCAAGGCCTTGGGGGATAATGCCATTAACCACTAGGCAATGGTTCCAAAAGTTCAGGTCAGGGAATATGTCTCTTCGTGATGCCCACGCAATAGTTGACCACAAGTGCTGGACAATGGGGCATTGAGAGCAGTCATACAGAGTGACAGAAGCCAAACATGTGGTGAGCTTGCTGCACACTTCCAGGTATCTTATGAAATGATCAGATTCCATTTGCACCACAAAGGAAAGGCATACAAGCTGAGAAAGTGGGAACACTACTCACTGTCTGATGCAAATAAGCAATAGCGTGTCACTGCCTGTTTGTCATTGCTTATTTGGCACTGCAATGCATCCATATTTAATCTAGTACTCACCAGCGATGAAAAATAGGTCCAGTATGACACACCCAAGTGTTCCAGACATTGGTTGTCACTATGGGACCATGTGCCTCACACTGCGAGATCTTCTCTTCACCCACAATGGATCATGCTCTGTATCTGGTGGACTAGTTGCTAAGTGGCGCACTATGAGCTCCTGTAAGGGGGCCAAATTATCACGGCAGGCCTGTACTCATAGCAGTTGGAAAGTGTACATCAGGCACTGATGCATAAAGAGCCAGCATTGGTCAGTTATAAAAGTGTACTCCTCCTCCAGGCCACATGTGGCTCGGGAGGCCAGGAACACCACCCAGCAAGTGGGGCTGGAAGGCAACACCCCATTCACCATACTTCCCAGACTTTGCACCAACAGACTACCACCTTTTTCATTCCCTGGATAACCATATTCATGGGAAATCCTTCAACAACCAGCCAGACTTCGAAAAGGCCCTTACGGACTTCCTTGCGTCCAAGACTCCCGAGTTTACTGTGATGGTATCGCACAGCTATCCACTCGTTGGCAAAAGGCACTGGATGCCGATACTTTGAGGATTAGTGGTGATTATTATTTGTTTTATGACTTTTTCTTTCTGACTGTCCAAAACAGCAAGAACTTTTTTGGTTACCTTGAATTATACTTATCATTTTTAAATTGATATGAAACACAATTTTATGAAACACGAATTGAAAACCTCATAATATCCCATAATTAATAGTAAGTTTGCTTCAGTTTAACAAATAACTCTTATGTTACACTATCAACACTGGTTGTTGGCACAGAGAAATGTTTGTATGACATGACAAAAAATCACTTAAGCTACACTAAAAAGTGTTTTTTGAATTTTTGGTGATCCTTGTTTTCATTCTCAGTAGCTATGGCTTTTGGTTTTATCAGCTGAACTCTAACAAGACAAGCTTCTTTTTAAAGCAAGTCAGTAAGTACACTTACAAATTCTAGATTTTATTTAATGTAGTTAATTTTTAAAATAAAATGCAAAACCACTATTTATCAATGTAATCAAGAGTTTTATTACATGCATTATAATAATAAACTTCCTTCTTTCCTTATTTCATACAGCAGACATGACAAAATTCATGCATCTTTCATTTTCCATATTTCAGATAAAACAAATTATATTTCCATAACTGCTTGTTTACATTCCACATTTTATTCAGAAATATTTTATTTAAAGCTCCCATAATATTAATTATTGATAACACATTATAAATAATTGTGTTACTTCCATTTGACTTATATGAAGTTTCACAAAACAAAGAGATACTATTAATAAAGAACTATAAACAAATACTTATATTTTATTATTTGGAGAGACGAAATCAACTTCATCTTTCTAGATTCTAGCCAAATGTCTCATAACTGGTATATTGGGAGGATAAGAAATGCAAATCCACATTTTTAAAAGTTAAAGGTTTTTAAAAGCAAGAATTTATACTATATAATATTTGTATAAAGTAATATGGAAAGAAGGAAAAACTGAAACTGATTAAAAAATATAATGCATAATTTCTAAATTACTGATGAAATATAAAATTTCCATATTATGTGAACTGAGTTTGCTGAAACCAGCAAGAAATGTATAAAAATTTTTAAGGTTAAAAATACTTTTTTTCCCATCGAAATTCCAAATGAAAATACAAGTTATTTATTTAATGGAACAATCGTACATACCACAGCATTTTGTCGATCTGTAATATGGACAAGCTTCCCAGCAACTGATTTGCTAAAAAGTCCTTTTTTGTGTGGAGTCTGTTAATAATAATTAAAAAACTCAGAACTTTGACAATTGAACATAAAATAGCTATTAGGAACCTAAAATTAATAATATTAAATCAGACAGAAAATAATAATATGCTGTACCAATAACATTATCCTTAATCCTTTATCAGTCACTTCTGGTGGATCTCGTATTTCTTCAAAACGATATTCCCATACCGTATTCCACTGGCCAAATATTTCCCCTTTTTCGATGTACATTACACGGCTGAAAAGTGAAAATTAAATGCAATTATTTATTCATACATTAGAATGTTCAGTACATTCACATAGGATATTTTCCAAAAAATTAACTTTCTTTCTGGCTGTGACATATTTGTTTATTTCTAGTCCAATTTGTGATGCTTTATATATTAATTTTTATTTCTTTACAAATAAAAAATTTAAAAAAATTGTTTCATACTTGTAGCAATAATTTGAAACCTAAATGTATAGCTAAATATAAATAATTCTTTTAAACTATATTAATATTCTAATAATTTCTGTGCTCAATATTTATCAAGTAGCAAAACATAAAATTTTTCATAAAAAAGAACAGAGAGAGGATAGAAGAAAATATTACTTGTTAGTTACTAGGAGAAATAACTTTTCATCTGCAACTGGAACATGAGCTAAATATACATCTGTATTAGCATATTTTCCCTTTTCAACTTCCTAGAATAAGAATATCTACTTAAATGGATATACAATAGACATTACTCATGTTTGGCACTATCAATTATATAAAATAAAATTACACTTTTTAATTTTTTAGGACAAGAAAATAAATCTAAATGAAACAGTTAATTAAAAAAATATTCTACTCTTCTTGGAAGTTTAATTTATTATTATGTAACATTTGTTGCAAAATAATATATTATTTTCCCAGATCATCTACAACTGATTTTTTTTTCTTTATGCTTAAGAAATATGAATTATACAAATGCATATTAACACAAACTCTAGAAGTGGTAGACTTTAATAAAAAAAGTTACACTAAAAAAAAACTGTCTCGAAAAAGCATACTTTCCATAAACATACTATTTATAATTAGTTATACTGTTTATAATTCATTATACTATTTATAATTAGCTATTCCTTTAAAAAATTTTGACAGCAATACTGCTAAATATCATTAAAATTGAGGCAAGACAAAGAATTCTTACATTTGAAATACATATTTGCAACTTATGCTTAATTAGTTATTTTGGCATGTTTCTTTAAAAAATCTATTAAAAACTACATTTTTCATACATTGCTCTTGTAGATTAAAAAAAAAGCATTATTTTGATAAGAATATATTAGAAATCAGTAGAAATTATGCACATATCTTTTTAAAAATCTCATTCCATACATTTACTTTGATGGTATTTTTAGTACTACAATAAATGCTAAGTTGTTTAGATTTGAGGAGGGCATTTTGCAATGTTTGGGAAGATGTTTCTCTCTACTAGAGTTTCAACTGAAAAACAGGTAATCTGTGAACTGGTTCTGTAGGACATGCTTTCAGTATGCAACATTTTAAATAAATAAAAGTTATAATTTTAAATATAGGAACATTATGGATTAATTCTAATTGCATAACAATTTTACTCAAGAACTCAGACTCTAGTTAACGCTAGATTATTAATGTTAAATTATAATTGCATGCCTCAGTGACTGCCAATACACAGTCGAACCCGGTTAATTTGACTACCTGGATAATCGGACCAAATCCTAACGAACCGAAACAAATTCTATGTACATAAGCCTAATATTATCCACTTATTTGGACCAAAAAATGTGACAGTGAATAACAAACAGAAGCCAGAAGTCAGCCGTGCACAGTTGGATGTACAGGTGAGCTGCGACATATGGGAGGATCTGTAGTTGCAGCTCCCCAGGAAAATGCTTTATCAAAGGTCAGGAATTCCTTAAAGTGCATGACAAAAGCAAAACTGGTGAAAGGTGAACACGCGCAACATTTTCTTTGACCTGCACCTCCGAGTTTCAAGGAAATGAACAATAGAGTGTCCGGCTCCACCTGAAAGGAATTCCCGCCTGTCAATCATGATTAAAGTTTACATGAGAAAGCTAACATTTCACCTTTTGGGGATGATTTTAGTGCCAAAGCTTTGAATGGTGAGCATTTTACCTCCCTCTTGACATCAACATCTTGAACCCGAAACACCAAGCTTTCTTCAGACCACTTTAGTCAGTGAACTGTGCACGTGTCTTGTCTCCCCTGCCAAAATACCACGACAGGACTTGACGTTAGCTGAAAAAATTGGTTTCCTGGATAAGATCAAGCATCAACCATGAAATATGAGTCAGCGTCGGTTGGTGGAAATAACCGGATTGGCAAAGACTACAATTTGGTGCTTGATAAAACAAGAGAATGAGCTGCGAGAAGAATGAGCACAATGTGAAGGACGAGGAACTTCCAAAAAACGGAAGCGTGAAGGCAAGGACCTAGATGTCGATGAGGCCCTTAATGAATGGTTTGCCAATTCTACTGGATGATCTGTGCGTGTAAGTGGCCCAATGTTAAAATGCAAAGCAGAACTCGCTAGAAAGCTTGGCCACGATGACTTTAAAGCTACGGGCAGTTGGTTGTTTCTATGGAAATCTAGACATGACATAAAATTCAAGAAAGCACATGGCGAGAAAGAAAGTGCTGATAGTGCAAATGCTGAAGAATGGAAATCAACAAAACTGCTCGAACTTTTTGAAAATTTTTCAGCAAGATGGCATCTACCATGCTGATGAAGACTGGGCTGTAGTATCGTGCTACACCATTCGGCTCGTTAAATTACAAACATGTTGCAATCTCTGGCTCCAAAAAGGCAATGGATTGCATAACTGTCTTGTGCTGCTCAAACACGTCAGGAACGGATAAGAGGAAGCTGTTGGTTATAGGAAAAACCACTAAGCCTCGCTGCTTTAAAGGACTTAGGATGGAGAGTTTGACCAAGTTTGTGTTATTCGTGCGAACAGAAATGCGTGGATGACCTCTGAACTTTTTAAAGAATAGCTGAAGGATTGAGACAGAGAGCTACAATGCCAGTCGAGAAAAGTGCTGCTTCTTCTTGATAACTGTGCAGCACATTGTCATTTAGATTGCTTGATGAATGTCCAACTAGAATTTCTACCTCTCAGGACCATAGCTTTTGTCCAGCCAATGGACATGGGCATCATAAAACATTTGAAGACCCTTTATCAAGCAAGGTAGGTTAATTACATCCTTGAAGCAATTGGTGAAAGTTTGCTGACATCATCATCAAAAGCCAGCGAAGTTAGTGCGAAGGTCAACATCTTACAAGCAGTTACATTTGCGGCCGACAGCTGGCGAAAAGTGAGCAGCAAGACAATTTAGAACTGTTTTTCTCACTGTGGCTTTGAGCACTTGGTTTTGGTGATGGATTTGGACATGCTCATTGAAAGTGAAAATGATGATTTACATGTGGAACTTCAACAGGTACAAAATTGTGAAGAATTTTTATCCATTGACAACGAGCTTCAATGTTATGATGAAAATTAAGATTGCGACACAGTAATCATTGCAGCAAATTGGTATTTCATGCAGGAGGGAAATGAAGGCAGTCCCATTGCTGCACTAAGATGCGTCAGATCACATTGGTAAGTTCTTCAAATGTTGACTGGAACTTACTAAGAACTTGTTTTTATTGTGCTTCGCATGCTGAGTATCGTGGATATCGTTTCTTAGAATTTGCTTCTAAATTAATTTTCTCAATGAAAAAGGTTCAAATGTAGTTCTTGTACCGCACAATAGAGGGCATAATTACATTTTAGTACATGTTTTACATGTACATTTACTGTTTGCTACATATAGCAATCATACTACTTGCTACATATCCCGTCTTACAACATTGGACATGTTCGTGTAATCGGACCAGCCGGTTATTATTAGAACCAAAACTATCGCTTCCCGATGTGGTCCGATTAACCAGAATCAACTGTATTTCTCTTCCAGATGCCGGTTGAAAATAGGACCTGTTTGAGTATTGCTTTGGTACAGAACTCTAACATAATGTTATATTTTGTATAACTTGCAAATAAAATAAAATTTTATTTAAACTACCTCACTTATGTGGACTTCTTCTAATAATTATGCTACAATGCTATTCAAGAATTCACTTTACCAATATACTGATGCTAAGCAAACTTTTAAGAACTCAAGACACACACACTGAAATCTGACATTTCAATTTTAAAATATTGATCAAAGAAAGAAAAAAGTAATACTTATTTCATGCAGCTAACTCTCAAAAGCACAAGAAAAGATACCTATTTTTTACTCAAGTATTAACCCCTTCACGCCGACTGTCACATATACATGCCAGCAACGAACACACTTACCTACTGGCCGACACGCAGGCGTGCCAAAGGATTTTTCCGTTCTCTACCAACTGTCACGTATTTGTGCCAGTACTTTGGAACATTTTTCAAACTATAATTTCTGCCACAAGATGGCACTGTATGTCCATATGGTTTCAGATACATGTACATTAGACCTTCTACTCGAAATGAGAGAAGCATGACTCACATACACGTGTTTTTGATTATACAGTAGAAGTCCATTAGTCCGGAATCCAACAGTCCGGAATGCCCGATAGTCCGGCATCGCTCCGGAAAATTGTAAAAATTTTGGTTTTCTCCAAAAGTGTGTCTTTAAAGCAAATAAAACCGCTCGAGAGCTAATCGGAAGTTTTCGGGGTAGTTCGAGATCATCCGGAAGCGCTCGGTATTGTTCGGAAACAATTAGCGGCTGGCTAGTCTCAGCTGTCACAACAAATTCAGGTGCTGTGCAGCTCCGTTAATCAATCACAAAGCCATTTTTTTCTGCGTTGTTGTTTTGTGTCCTTTCACATCGGAGTAAACGTAACTTTTGAAACTGTTTATAAAAAAAGTGATTTTCGTTCTAACTGTACAGTGACCATGTTTTCAAAACCTAAGCCTTCGAGTTCAAAAGGAGAGAAACGAAAACACGTAACACTGACTCTCAATCAGAAACTAGAAATCATCAAATGGCTAGAAAAAGGCGAGAATAGAAATGTTTTAATGAATGAGTTTAATATTGGCTCATCAACTATTTATGACATTAAAAAACAAAAAGATGAACTAATGAAGTTTGCTTCTCAATCGGTAACAACTGAAAAATTGGCTTCTAGACAAACATTAAAAAAAACAAAACTGGAACAGCTAGATAGTGTATTGTTCAAATGGTTTAGTGCAGTACGTTTTGAAGGAAAGCCGGTAACAGGGCCAATGATTGTTGAAAAGGCAAAGAAATTCGGCCAAGATTTAGGAGTTGCTGAAAGTGAATGTAATTATTCTGATGGTTGGCTCAGAAACTTTAAGTTTCGGCATGGAATTCGAAGACTTGATGTAACTGGAGAAACCCTTTCAGCAAACCAAAACTCTGCAGAAAAATACACAGACGAGTTTGAGAAAATCGTGGCTGATAATGATTTAACACCTGAACAGATTTACAATGCTGATGAAACAGGGCTATTGTGGCGATGTTTACCAACATCTACACTAGCTGGGGGAGGAGAAAAAGCAGCCAAGGGTTTTAAAAAAACAAAGACAGATTAACCGTTTTGCTATGTGCTAATGCGTCTGGAAACCACCGAGTGACCTCTTTTGTGATAGGTAAATCTGCAAAACCCAGGGCTTTTAAGAATGTTACACACTTGCCTGTCCAATACGATGCTCAATCAAATGCGTGGATAACTGCCGCCCTCTTTAAAGACTGGTTTTTTCACCACTTTGTGCCTGAGGTCAAGGAATCCTTCAAAAGCCTTGGTCTACCAGAAGATACTAAAGCCATCCTTCTTTTGGACAATTGCAAAGCCCATCCGCCAGTAGATGAGTTAGTTTCTGGAAATATTGTTGCTACTCTGCTCCCACCTAACGTAACTACTTTGATTCAACCCATGGACCAAGGGGTTATTCAAAATTTTAAATGCTTTTATAGAAGGTCTTTTATTCAAGGCCTGTTAAATGCCGGCTGTGACGTGACTGATTTTCAAAAAAAGTTTACAGTAAAAAATGCCGTCTATGCTATTGCACAGTCTTGGAACCAGGTAAAAAATACAACACTCCAAAAATGCTGGAGAAAACTTTGGCCAGCTGCAAACCCTGCATCCGACCTAACTCTACAAACTGATGAGGAAGAAAACCATCAAGACGCTCTGACCAAAGTTTTGGATGTCGTTAGAAGTACTGACAATCCCTTGAAAAACCTGCCTGAAGATGAGGTAGAGGAGTGGCTTTTAATCGACGAGAATGAGCCTGTTGAACAAGAACTAACTGATGAGGACATTATCAACATTGTAGTAAACCCTCAGCCTACTCAAAATCTTGAAGAAAATGACTTAGATGCCGAAACGGAAGAAAAGGAAAAAATCAGCTAGGCAGAAGCTGCAGAATCACTAAATAAGTTTATCTCTTTTGCCAAGGCTAGTACTAGCTACAGTGCTTCAGAAATTATTGATTTCCATATCATTAGAAATAAATTTTATACTAAACGCCAAAAAGTCAAGAAAACAAAAAGACATTCGTGAAATATGTTTTACAGTACGTGTACATACATTATATGAAATGTAAAATAAACTTGTTGTATGTATTTGCATACTGTATTTTTAGTTTAATTATTAACCTAATTGTTCTTATAATTACCGCCCGATAGACCGAAATTTTCGGTAGTCCGGCACCGAGCCGGTCCCGAACGTGCCGGATTATTGGACTTCTACTGTATAAACAAACGGGGAAATAAATGTTTCCGAATGGCGTGATTTATGACGTCTCTTTAAATCACAATTTATTCGCACGTGGTAGTTGTTTACTGTAAGTAGAGAAGTTTTATTTGCTCTAAAGCGTTGGGTATTTCGGTTTGCAGTTCAGTTTTTAGAAAATAATTAGATCTTGTTAGACGTGAATTCTTTGTTTTTACCGTTGCAATGTCGAAGCGTCGAAAATGTTTAACAGAGCATGACATAGCACAAATGATGCAAAATATTTCAGATATTGATTCTGAAAGATTAACTGAAAGACATTTTCCAAAACTTTGTTCAGAAGAGACTGATAAGAAATGAGACGACGATGCTTCGTTTGTTCACATTCCCGGAAAAATCCTCCAAAACGACAAATGAGTTATTACGAGTGCAAGGAATGTAATGTAGGACTGTGTGTAGATCCCTGTTTTCAAATTTTTCATACGAAAAGAGAATTTTAAGTAATATATTTAATTTTCAGATGTATAATGTTAAAATTCATAAAATGGTGAGTAATTAAAATAAAATGTGCAAAATATGCATTTAAACAAGAAATAAGGTAATTAAAGTATATATATAAAAATATCTATAAAGCATAAGCCATTTAAATACTCTATAGAGCATTATTAAACAATGCGTTGATACTTCGGAAATTTCATGGATTTAGGCTTAGTAGCAAAAAAGCCCCCGGCCCTGGAGAGACGCTCGTGTAAGACACTGCCCGCCTCAGCGATAAGCACGCGTTTTCGCTACCTGGCTCGAAGGGGTTAATGTAATCAAATATAATTTCTTGCAACTGCAAATTAAAAATATGAGCTTGTATTAAAAACTAAAAATATAACACATTATAATTTCAATTACCAAGTTTGTTGCCTTCTGCTTCTCTTTTTACATATGGCCTAATTATACTATCAGGCTGAATAAAACGAGGCACTCGAAGACGCTTCACATCATCAGACACTTGAGTTGCCCTATTCAGAAGATACAGTTATGTATGTCACATTCTCATAATTTTTAAATAAAATTTTTAAACTGCTTTGTATAGAAAAAATGTATTATTTACAGATTTTCAGCTATTTATAATTAAATGTTTCATAATTACCTTTTAAATTATTTATTAGTTCAATATAAAAAAGCAAATTTATTCAAAAAATACATATAATTTAATAATGAAATTATGCATAAATATCGTTGCATGCATACAGGTTGGTAATACATTGAATGTACACAGAACTGATGATAGTTTAATAAAATTTATTTTAACAAAAGAAACACTTTACAGTTCTGGAACTTTCCATAAAAATTCTCTTATAACTCTTCTTAGTATCACAGACTACAGTTAATAGTTACACTTCAAACTACTAAGAATGTTAAATACTGCACAATGCAAAGCACATCTAAAAGGTAAAGCTTATATGGAGATCTCTCAATGCTCTATACACAATGTTGAACTAAACTGAGAAACTCATGCTTTTCCTGATCTTATATAGTTTTCCCCGAGCTGCCAAGAAATATCTAGTACCGCTCACTTCTTGAAATTACTAGAAGGGGAAGACAGATCACAGTTATACAGGGACTGCACCAAAATGTCACCCAAATTTGGTGATAAAAATTCACCATAACCATTGCCAGCTTGGCAACATCTCGCCAATTTAGCATGATAGCCATTTACCTATATGTTAAATAGACTTGCCCTTGTAGTCTTATTTTTCCAACACAGCTTCATCTCTTCCAAGTTTTTATGTTACATTATACAAAAAATACCACAGCTTCACATATAATTTCACTAAACTTATTTACATATATACAAAATTTGTAACAATATATTAAATCATTTGGTGAAAAAACGCATTAAAATTATGTATAAAACAGAAAACCTTATGACACTTTCTATGAATGGACCTTAAGCTACCAACAAATCACATCTGCCATACGTGGGAGCAAAGGACACTAAAGATGCAAATGCACTAAGAGAAAAGTTGTGAAATTTTTGTCTAGTGCAGGTGTGAAGCCTATATAGTCTCATTACTGAATAAGAAACTAATACGATGATGAGTTTATAAACCGAAAGCTGTTAAAAATGTGATACAAGAAAAATCACATCATAATCAAGAGCACGCATTATTACTGAACATGACAGTTGGATCAGCTCACCACACATTATGAACTGAAGTCGTAAAAAATTTTTACAAAACAGAGATACAAGTCAATATTCATATTCAAGATAAAAAACGAAAGAAAAGCATAATAATGCTTGCTAAGATTGGTATGGGGCTTATATTGAAGTGCTTCTGAAGCTGAATATGAAAGAGGGTTTACACTTCTAAAGAGAAGAGATTTCCCAGCCAATGATAAGATTAAGTCTGAGATGCATGAGTGTTCTACTCCTGTTCAAAATAACATTTTCTGTAACATATCTGTATGCTTATTAAGCACTGGACACAGACCGAACCTTTGCTTGATGGAAACTATGCTGAACATTAACAATATAATTATCTTATTGCTTCTAATAAATACTCTGAAAACAAAAAGCTTTGGCTCTCCACTAAGCATTAACATATTAACAAAGTATTTACAATTGTTAGCACACATGAAATAAGAGTAGCTAATCAATAAAACAAGGAATAAAATGCAGTAAAAATAAATATTGCCTAAAAATTCTGATAATTCATTACCTTGAACTTTTTCCCTACTTGTTTAACTATTAGCAAACAAAATTACAATTCAATATAATGTTTTTCTTACTACACTTAATTCAGTGTAAAAGCTAATGCTACCTTCCCATCATATGACTTGTGTAAATAATCCAATATTTAGAAAAAGGCTGCTAAAATATATTCACCTTTTTGTAACTAATAAATTGTATTTCCAATGCCATATATAATGCAAGCCCAGATATATTTTTTTCACATAAATTTATAATGTTTTACATTTGTTAAGTTATTAAAAAGTGTTAAAAATTTTTTTAATAACTCTTTAAAGTGTCGACTATAACATGAAGTCTTAAATTTAAGACCTCTTTTACCAGGATTCGTACACATTTCTGCACACAGAAATTAAGTACTTTTAAGGACCATTAATGAAAAATATTAAGGACCTATGAGCAAATGGAAACTGAATAAATTAAATTAAAAATATTATCTAAGCCTGAATTTCACTTTTGTAACATCATCCTAAAAATAAAATAGATCCCTAAGTAGTATGCAGTATTACTAAACCTGAATTAATGAACATAACTATTTAATAAGTTTGAGCATAAAATAAACTTAATGCAATTTATGAAGTACCATTAAATATTTTACACTTATAATAGTTGGTCATATTTGAAAGAAGATAGGTGGCATTTACGTTTTACTAACAGTTAGCTTTATGTTGATTTTTTTTTATGTCTCATTTTGTCACATACTTGGTCAGTCTAGAGGTTTAGCAGGTAGATTTTATGTCAAACGGCAGAGGTTAAAATGAGAAGTAAGATCATAATCAGCATGATTCAGAACAAAAGACTGAATGTTGTCTCTGCTGCTGCTTGTCTAGAGAGAGACCTGCTGATTAGAACAAACCTGAAAGTCCTGATGCAGGCATGGTTGGCAAGTGTTGAAAGTTAGTCAGGCTCCGTTTGATGCAGTTAGTGTCGTAGCTTCATGTAGAGTTTGAAGGGTTGTAACCCAGTTAATATACTTTATAAGGCATTAAAGCACCAGAGGTGATAAGTTGTTTTGTATTATTTTAAGTCCCAGTAGATGAAAAGAATAAGTTTTACTTGAATTGTTATATTTTCGTATTTTATCTTGTGACCACAGTGAGTATTATTGAAAGGCAATAACTGGCTTTCACATGTATAGATAATTTTTAAGGGTATGCAGTTAGTTATAAATAATTAAATTAGGTATTTGATAATCTTAGTCATTATGGATTTACATGACACTGTTAAATTTTATTTTTTAACAACATTTGTTAAAAAAGCCCTATTAAAATCAAAATCTAATAAAATTTCACAGTTTAAAATACATGTAATTTATGACATTGATTCTTAAACGATATTAGAATAATTACACATTAAAAGCTACAAAACATTTATGTTTTGTAACAACACTCAATAAAATATTTATCCGTCATTTTAATTCGAAGCCTTCCCAGACATTTTGGCTAGTTTATATCAATTTCCTTCTCTTTAAGCATCTTTTCTAACAATTAGAGATTTGTTTCAATATGCAAACCAATGCTCTCCCTAGTTTCTGCGTGCTTTATCTCCTAACTTGTCAACCTCTCCACAATGTACCTATGAGGGTTTACTTGATCTGGTAAAAGTTATATAATCCAAAACCGCCGACAGACATTAAACATATTATATATAAAAGTAACTACAATATCAGACAAAGGTTTAAATAAGCCTCTTATTTAAAAAGAACTTAGAACATAAAGGCATGTTCTGATACTAACAAAATCAATTATAGCTCACGGTGATGAAATTAAACAGCAGCAGTCTAATTCAAACTAAAAATGTATAGAGGTGAAAGATTATACAATTTAATTTTAATTTAATCTGGCTCAGTAACTCTATCATATGAGGAAATAGAAAAGGGAAATTATAGTAAAGGCTGAAATCATAAACAATTGGGTAATTTACATAATAATAACTGTATATATCTTTGAAGAATAATTTCTTTATATACTCAGTTTCTTTCTTCAACATGTTTCCTTTTCATTTTAGAATTTTTGGATTTAATTAAGGATTTCTGATATTCTAAAAAACACTAAATGAATTTAGAATGTTCAGGAAATGCGGCTAATTTTATTTTAGTAATATGAACACTCAGAAGAAATATTTTTATATATATAGTAAAGGCTGGTTACAGAGCTGATGTGGCAGAATTTTGAGAATTTAGTGACACACCGAACAACAAAATCTAGAAATGGCAATACTTTTTAGAATTTAGAGCAGGCATTGGAAGCAGAATTTAGGATTCACAGAGATTGCATCAGGTGGGAAATGCCTAGTGCCAGCTATGTGTATGATGCATTAAGACATATTAGATGAATGTTTTAAATTACAGGTTTTCAATTTCTTTATTAATAAAAAAATCCCTTTCTATAATGCTTGCCCATGTAATAAGATTACAAGCATTTTTGATATTTTCCATGCTTGTGTCTAGTGAAAAGTAGAGAAAATGAATGGAAGATTAACATGTTAAGATTCCTAGTATCAGAAGTAAAACATTAAATATTATGTTTTCATTGTTCTTCCAGACGTTCTCCAAAAAGTAAGAATTTCATTGCAAACTTTCTGTAAAATACATCCATTACGCGTTGATACCATGGAGACATTTTTCATTTTGTCACATATTTCTCGAATCTCCTAGAATCGTGGGTCTATAAATCTTGCCTTCAAATCCTTCTAAACTTTCCAAGCTGCGATGTCTAAAATCCTAAAGAAAAATTATCCCTACCAATTCTGCAACAGCAAAAAGCCAGAAATATTTTGGAAAAAAAGAAGGAGGGAAAAAGTGCAAAATTAATTTTATAGAGAAAACATGCATATTCTGAGAATTTTGAATATTCTGAGACAATCATATGGGAAATATTCCTACTATGAAAATATTAAAAAGAAGACATTTTTAATTAATTACATAGCTCATTTTGCTTTTGCTAAAAGCTCTTTTGTAAATTGTGCTTTATAGCATTATACCTTGTTTATTTTTCAAATTCAAAATATTGTATAATAAGTTGCCAAAATAAAAGTTATGACAACGAAAAAAAATGTTTTATTTTATTGTTATTTTTTAAATATAATTTCAATATATTACCATTATTTTAATGAAATTAATTAATGTTAAGATGTTTAAAAAAAATCGTTGAAAAATTCTTAATCTCGGAATTAAAAATTATCTATAGAAACTGATCTCAAAATCGCTAAAATGTTGAAAAGTCGCCAAATTTAGAACCGTTTAATAAAAGAATTCACATCCCCGAAAGCGAAAAGTTGTTTAAGAGCTCTTTATTAAAGAAAATGAATTTCAAAATGCTTATGTTTCATTTCTTGCTTAGAAACTCAAGTATCCCATCATTTATATTAGAAATAGAAACAAATTATAACTCATGAACCCATTCAAAAGATAACCATATATGCATTAGTCAATCGCCAAAAAATATTTCTCCAAAATGCTAATTCACACTCAAAATGGCAGTCGTAAAAACAGACAGAAATTTCAGATGATTAAAATTAAGGACCTTCTGCTGATTTTGGCCAAAATCAAGGACTTTTAAGGACCAAAAAACTTAAGGACTTTTAAGGACTCTTAAGGACCGTACGAACCCTGTTTACTTATTTGTGGATAATAGCTTCAAAATAGAACAGCTCATATGTCTAAAATTATCTAGTTAGCCAATGTTGTTTTGCATTAAAATATACTTATAATAAAGAAGATAGAGAAGTGCTTACACACGATACATATGATAAAAAGAGATGCAGTGAAAGTCTTATTTAGAGAATTGGATCTGCTACTATAAAATTTACTAACTGGTTTTCTAACATTTCGAAAAATGTTTTAAACAATACCATTAATAATCAAATAAAAAATATTAAGGATATTTGTACTGAGGTAGAACAGAAACAAAAATTTTAATGCTTACAGACACCTTAGAAAATAATCAAGTTCCAATAACTTTCATTAATTTACACTGAGGTTTTATCTTAATGATATGAAAAGCCATTCTTAAGCCTTTATTTTTAGAAGGAATGGTATAGATAGGTGAGAAAGAATTTCATAGTGTATAAATGTATACAGTATTATTTTGGTAAAAATTTGTATGATATTTCTTTATATAACTACTTTTTTTTGGACTAAAAAATAGGCAATGTTTTGTCTCCTGAGTCACTATTGTTTGCCAATTAGCGTAAAGATTTTTCCTTTACAACATTTGCTGCTTAATTTTCATTTTTCATTACTTTACCACATTAATTTTTTAAAGACACAATTTTCTTTTTAAATTTCTTCCCCGCCCCCCTACTACATGGCGAGAATAAAAATTCATCAGTAGCAACCTAGACTGCACATTTCTTTCTTTCCCCTCACCAAAATTCTAGATTCTAACAGTTGTTTGTCTTCTTGGATTTTTCACTGAGATACAAATAATTATAGTTTGGTTCTGTAATTATTTTTCTTCTTTGTATATAAAGACGTTAATTTAAAATTTATTATCATAGTAAAACATTAAAAATTTAAGAAGTTTTTATGCATTTTTAATACTTATTCGAAATTTTGCTTGTATTTATATGTATAGGACTGTAAACTCTTAACTATTGTTTTTTTTGGGGGGGGGCGCATGGGTGAAATTTGTTCTGTAGGGGAGGAGTTTTTAATTTTCAGGGACACTGAAAGCATTTATATTATTAATTCAGTGCCTCGAATAGTTTTAAGCTTACAGAAACAGAATAAAACAATCTGGAAAAACTGTATTATCATACGAAGGCTTTACCTCCTCTTGACAATGTAACAGTCTGAAGATAATAATACAGATTTTTCCACTTTTTAGCCATTTCTACCAATGTATTTTAATTCATATGATCATGCAAATATTATTTTGACTCCACCACTTTTAGGTTTATTTTTTAAACTTGAATTAAAAAATAGCTACATTTATAATTGTCTATTAATTTGCTCAGTTAATAACATATTGCTTTTTCCCCCTTACATGTTTTTCTTTTACCTGTTAAGTTTTAATTTTAATTTAATCAATGTTTACATTACATCTTGGCAACATTATGCACAGGAAATACTTTTTAAGCCCTTGTTATGTATGTTTTATCCAATTTAAGTAAGTATATATTGACGATAAAATAACTTCAATTTACAACAGCCCCTTAATTCTCTATTTTAACTTGGGCATTTCCCCTTTCTGTCCTAAAAACAGAAGCTGCTCATAATATAATAAACCTCTCTAAACTACATCACGTTAACATAATAGACGTCATATAAGTCTTGCATAACACTAATCACATAAGCAGACACTTATATAAAGGCTTCAGACAATAATTTCAATTTGGGAACTAAAACATTTTATTAACCAGTCAAGATTAAATATGAGGTCCATCAGCGGCTGAGCGGTAAAGTCGCTGAACACAGGTAGTTCGGTCCGAGGTTAAAATCCCGCATACGGGCTAGCTGCATGGGCGTTTTCGTGCTTTTCCCCATGTGTAATGCATATACGAGCCAGTCCTCCACAAAGGCATTTCTCCCCTTAGGCAGATAGCCCTCAAGGCTTTGCCATAATCACACACATACAAGATTAAATATGAACTGAAATTCATAACAGGATATTCAATGTATAGAAATTCATAACAGGATATTCAATTGAATTAGCTTCTAGTTAACTGACCTTTTTCCCTAATGATATATCTATATATATTTCAATGATGCTTTTACATAGCTCTTTTGTAAAAGATTAGACTTTTCCCATTTTGAATAACATTGATACATAGACTGTAGTAGTAAACTTTAACTAGTAGCGAAACTTTCCAGTAATAAGCACACAAATCATATTTTTTCAACTTGTTAACACTTCTTTTTTCAATTAATCAGTGTACATGTCACTAAAGACCCACAAATATAAAAAATGAAAAACTGTAAATACTTCTTGTAAATTATATGCATATTTAATTAGAAATTTTTATTTTATTAAGCAGAAATATCACTAAACTTACTAATATATTGATATTCCAAATCACAAATAATCATATGAAGAAAAAATTAGAAGAATCCATAAACTGTGTAACATTACAAGATTTATGAATTAAGATTTACAAGATTAGAATTTAAATCTCATGATTACCGTTTAACAGCTTCTAGTGAATCACTAGCAAAGTCAACAACACCTGCAGTAGGTCTTGTAACAACACCAATCAGACCTTTCCCAATGCCTTTAAAGAAACCACCTACACCACTTTCACGAGCACCTTCAAGTGGTTTTGTGACAATTCCGGTAACGCCATCAAATACACCCTGAAATAAAATAAAAAGTTATAGAAAATTTGCAAGTATTATAAATGCACACATACTAAAACAACAGTAATAATTTCCTTGCATCCAACTGTCACTTCCAAGTGGACATCACAAATATTAAAAGCAGTTCAAATAATTTTCAAAAATGAGCATTAACAAAATGTATAAAAGCATAAACATTTATTAAAGAATTGTTTTCTTATTACACTCTCTATTAAAGCGAAAAATAATAAAAATATATAAAAAATTTATAAAAATAATAAAAATATTAAATAAAAATATATGAAAATAATAAAAATGACTAAAAATTTTATGTTTGAATTCTAAGTAGAATTTCCGGAAGGAAGTGACAAACTCAAAAAATATACCTTGAAAAAGAACTAAAAAGAAACAGAACTAAGAGTTACACTGTTTGAATTTGAGACTTTTTGTACCAGTGTACCAGAATCGTAAATTTCACTACAAGAGAAAAGCCAAATGTCCATCCATTATTACATTTTAAATCAAAACTATTTTTAAGAGACCAAAGATATCTCTATTCAAATTCAAATTTAAAGTATTAAAATAATATTTTTAATGGTATGTGCATAAAATAAGTACCAGCTATTTTTCTTTCAGTTACATCGAAAGTACTGTCTCTTTATAAGTCTAAAACTCTGAGTTTCATGGGCATGATTAAGAAAATTGTTAAAACTAATTGAGTTCTTCCTCATACAAAATTAACACCGGCCGAGAACATGTTAAGAGATTTCAGTCATAAAATTTACATCATCATTTGAAAGATTTAATTAACATACGCAGAAAAAAATAAAAGCACAACAAAGCACACAGATCCCAACTATACAAATCTAACTGTTTAGAGCTTTAAAAATCATTAATTTTTTTAATATAGAATCAAATCTTTATGGTTTTTGTATTTTACTTTTGGAGTCTATTATAATGCATATTACATGTATGTTATAGAATTGTGTATAACATACATGTAATAAAACTTAATGTACTGAAAATGAATCAATGATAAAAAACTATGATGTCATCAGACATTGATAAAATAATATAAAAAGGTGGAACTATTAAATACAATCATTTAATTTTTTGAATAGCTATAAAATTTAATGTCAGCATTGGTTAGTGAATTCTTACAGCCTTTATTTAAAACTACAGAAATAAACCATAACTTTCATTAGCGATCACAAGACTTTTTAATTTGTTACTAAATGTATAACCAGACTATATTTTCAGAATTTTAATCCTCTTACAATACGTTTTTAATATTAAAAAGTGCTACCAACACTCTTTTAAATAAATTGTTTACGCAGTCACAATCCAATTTTCAAGTACATACCATTACAAGACCTTTTCCACTTTGTGCAATACCATGAGTAAAATCCTGTGGTCGTCGAGATATATTCTGACGGCGCTTTTTTTGATAATCTTTGTCAAGAGTTAGAGCTGCAATTCCTTTTCCCAGAGTTCCAGTAATTCGTGATGCAGCCCCTGCAGCCCCACCTAAACAATGAATGCAAGACATAATTATAATGAGCAAGAATAAAGATAAACATTTGTGTAACAAACACCAAACTAATTCGCATGACTTCATTTCTTTATTAAATTGACCTGAAACTAGCTCTATCAAAATTCACATGAAAAATGCACACATACTCCACTTCTCAACTTTGGATACTTAATAACAAAATGCCTAATTCTACAGTTATGCACAGTGAAATCTCTTAAAGTTATCACTTTCTGTAGTAGAGTGCTACAGAAAGTGACCAGCTTTTTTGAGATCATGAACATACTGGCATGCAAAATTTAAGGAAAAATAAAACCTCCAGTTACAATTTTAAACTTAAATTGCCTAGATTTGGAAAACACACATAAAGTTCAACAGATGAGGAAGAGATGAGAAAAACAGAATAGCAGCAATAAATACATAATGCGCAATGGCACTTTACTCAAAATGGTTAATCTGATTTGGTAGCAATTACATAGAAAAATCCATGACATTTTCAATAAAGATGTATAGTTTCTTTCAGTACAGAATAAGATCACTATATAAAACAGAAATAAATATTTTGTACAGCCATGCATGCACTTAAATTACCTTAATTTTTGAAAAAAAAAAAAAAAAAAAAAAAAAGAAAGAAAGAAAGAAAGAAAGAAAAGAATTATTTGCATTTTAACATAACAATATTTCATACATAATCCATGTCATACTGCTATGAATCTCTTTTAATTAGATAAAAAATAGCTAAGACAAAAGTTCTCAGAATTTCTTTAAAGAAATTAAAATTTTATATATATAAAGTGTTTAACAATTTTGAAGTGCATCTTTTAAATGATGAAAATTAAAAATAACTAATCAGTCTAAAAACAACGCTACATAAAATTTCAAGAATTACATATCTTCTCATAACAGTTTAAAAAAGATAAAATAAAATATCACAGAAGCATACCAAATAAACACAATAAAAATGAATAATCACCTATCGCATGGCCAAATAATGATTTGACACCTAAAGCAAGACCTTCAGCAAATTCTTCTGGGCCTTGAATGGCACCTTGAAATGGTTCATAAAAGAGGTCTGTAACGCCTTCTCCCAAACCAAGTAACAAACCTACAGGATTACCTATTACATCTAATCCCAGCACCAACATGTAAAGTTGTTTCACAGCCTTTAAAAAGGTAATAATAGTAATAAATAATGCTTATTAATAGCAAATAACAGAGTATGAACCAATATATTGATAAGAATACTATATTATGCAAGAAACACATACATACAAAGTTTTGGATGCAAGGTAATACATTATAATTATAGTAAAAAATTCCAAAAAATATATCTTTATTACAATATTACCAGATATATGAATCTAATTATGTGATACAGGTATACAAGCAACTTTCAAATGTTGAAATTTATTTTTATGGATATACATAAAAAGTATACTTCTGTTGAATATGATGCTGATATTCTCTACTTACACTCTAAGACAGGGAAGGGGAACATAACCAAGGAGTAATGCAAATTGATATGCATACAGGCTTCAATGAAAAATTCAAAATTTTAAAGTTTGGCAGGCAACAAGTGAACATGTGCTGCAGCACATCTTAAATACAAAACTGGCACAATACTAAAGAGGAGAAAGTACGATTTCATGTCATACATTCTTTGCGAATTACATTCCACGTACTCAGGTAGACAGTAACTATGCCTTACACACAAATGCACAGATGTCAGCATTTGAGAAAGGACATGTATTTAGGCTCAAAGAAGCCAGTTGGTCAAATCAGCAAATTACTCGACATTTGGATAGGAGTGATGCCATTATTAGATGATATTGGCAGGAATGGGTGAACCATGGCCAAACGCAGTGTCAAGATGGAAGCGGTCAAACTAGATAGATGACAGAACAATCGCCAGAGCAGCAATCAGAGCCCAAGATTCATAATTATCCTCAATCCTATATGTAACTGGTGTTTCAGTGACTGCAAGGATCATATAGGCAGTTCAGAGAAAGAGCACCTAGGTAACGGTGTCCCTTGCGCCGACTACCATTGACTTCTGTACAACGTCTGCACTGGTCTCAGGGATATTCGACGTGAAATGTCAATGATTGTCTTCAGTGATGAATCCCACTTCGAACTGAGCCCCAATGGCCAGGGAAGACACATCTGGAGATGGCCTGGACAGCAGTGGTTGAATATCAACCTGTTGACCGCCATATGGCTCGACAACTAGGAGTTATAGTCTGGGGTGCCATTTCACTTACTAGCAGGGCCCTTTTGGTTGTTGTCCATGGCAACTTAAGGCTGCTATCACACATCCATTTGTTAACTGTTTGGAACAATTTTTCTGCTTTGTCACAATAGCCAATCCCCTCAGATCACTTTGAGGTTAACATGTAAAGGAGAAACTGGTTCTCCATTACAAACAAGCTGATAGCTGGCTGATTGAAAATGAACAACTTGCAATTTTTTCGAAAGGAAAGAAAACAATCATGTGTCTTTCTTTCAGTAGTAAACCAGGCAGAAAAATTGTTCGAAACAGTTGTTCGTATGAAACAAATGCACGTGTGATATGGGCCTTACAGCACAGTGGTATGTCAACGATATTCTACACCCCATTGTGTTGCCCTTCATATCATACTATCCTGAGCTTATATTTCAGCAAGATAATGCCCACCCACACGATAGTTTGTAAGGGTCGCCAAGCTACCTGGAAAGCCAGGAAAAGTAAGGGAACTCAAAAATTGATAAAAAGGGGAAATTATTAATAAATATTTTAGTCAAAATCTGGAAAAATCAGGGAATTTCATATGGCGAACCCTCAATAAAGCAATTTTTGCAGCATTGGAAGCGATAACTTTCTTGGTAAATTATGTATTGTGTGAGCATCATCAGTCAGTTGGCATAGAGCTAATTTCCTCAGCTTCAATCAGATTGTCTTTTAGAAACGCAAAACAAATTTTTAGCAACTTTGGTTTCCAGTAACCTTGAGAATCGAGAGACTCGCATATGTATGTGCAGTGCATGTTGAATAGAAGAAAATACCTTTCCATTCTCGTATAATATAAAATCGGTTTAATCCTAATGTTTCACTCAGGATTTGGCGACATCATATGAGCAGTAAATGGGTCATTTTGGTGTTGGCGGCAATTTACAGAATCGTTCCAAGGGCCATACTGTATTATTAGAATTTTACCACAAAAGCTTTTAAACTTTTTTTTCCTTTTTCTTTTTAAAAAATTCCTTATTTGTCATTTTGCAGTAAAATAAAGAAACAGAAATCAGTCCTTTGACTGATTACTATTTCTAGGCTAACAATTTAATATAACTATATTTGTCAACATATAATTGATTACTGTAATTCAATTTTTAATTGTTCAGTAATTAAATTTATTTTAATGTTGTTTCTTCCTTATATATGCTGCTAAATAAACATAAAATACCTGAATTTATTTTAAAATATCATTAAATAATTTCATTCTTTTATCTAGCTGCAAAATGTCTGCAAAAAAATAAAAAAGACATTTTTTAATCCAGATTGGGGAAATTCTAATCTCAATCCTCAGTAGAGAAAATAAGTCATATCTAATTGACAAAAATCTGTGTTTTCAAGTGGTACCGTAATTAATTTCTCTCTCAGCACAGCCAACGTGCACCACGCTATGCAGATAGACTGGAATTTTCTTAAAACACACCTGGAAAATCTGGAAAAGTCAGGGAATTTCATTCTCCTGTTTGAGTGACAATACTTGTTGTACTGCTTGTCTCCGTGCTTGCCCAGCTTGACCACCGAGTTCTCTGAATCTCTCCCCCATAGAGAATGTTTGCACCTCTGACCAGCTCGGGATTTTGCCAATACAACACGCCAGTTGGACAGAATTTGGTCAAAAAAAAAAAAAAAAAAAAAAAAAAAAAAACACATTCTACTGGGCCGTTTGACAAAATTCAAATTGCGTTCTTCATGTCTCGAACGTGCGACTTAGGATATATATTAGATTTATATATAGCACTATTCTAACATAGGTATTTTGACACAAAATCAGACCTTTTTCTGAAATAACATACCAATTTTTTTACATATTTGGCGAACTTCTTAATATATGGCTAGTTTTCTTTCCAGTGAGAAGAAAAAAAGTCACCATCGTTCCTTTTTTCCAAATAATATTCTTTATATTATATTTTTAATTATAACTGTTATTATTTAAAGTAATTTTTCTTTTTTGAATTTCATTTCAATTGTTTAAATTGTATTTTTTTTTTTTTGAATAACTGTTTTAAAAATTTCTATTTACCTATTCGAACTGCGTAAATAAAGGTGCAGCGTTTATTTATTTTTTTTTTTTTTTTTTCAAATAGTTTTTTATACTTTTAATTTTAAGTGTTTGTGCTGCATTGTCTCTTCAGATAATTGTTTTAAAATTTTCTATTTATTCCTTCGAACTGAGCATTTTAAATATATTTATTAATATCAATTTTCCAGAATTTAATTTTATTTATTTGAATTCCGTTTCTTTCGGAAGAATACTTTGTAACCCAGACTACGATGCGTTTGAAAACTGCATGTATTAAAAAAGAAAATACAGTAAAGCACAGTTAACACGCCTTTCAATGTTCCGTTCAGAAGACATATATATATAAATAAGAGAGTTGTATAACCGACATTTTAACTTAGGATGACTTGCATACACTGCTTTAAACAGTTTTATCATTGTGCCCATTGCTTTACACAATTTTATCCTACATTTGGTTTCTTAAAATGTTATTCATATTTTAGTCAAATATTTTATTTTTGAAATCGCAAGAAAAATACTAAATTTTACGCAAAAATTTAATTTTTCTTCTCATTTTCTTCAGGCATTCTATTTCATTCTTGCTCTTTTCCTTTAGGCATTCTGCAAGTATATTAAAAAGCATCCAACTTTTCAAAATATCTTGGTATTTCTGACAATCATTTTAAATAAAGTTATCGCCTTCCATTTAATAAAGGCCCACAAACGGCCGAGCGGTAAAGTCGCTGAACACTGGTAGTTCACTCCGGGGTTCAAATCCCGATAAACGGGCTGGTTGCATGGGTGTTTTCGTGGATTTTCTGATGTGTACCGTGTATGCCAGCTGGTTTCCCTTAGAAAGTTCTTCACGAAGGCATCCTTCCTTTTAGTCAGATAGCCCTGCTTTGCCATAACTTAATAACCCAATTCAATCCATTTCATCAGTATTTGGTCAGAGCCTTTGTCAGTCTTTACAGGCTAAACGTTTTGAAGGTATGAGATGAAAGGAAAGACTGGTTTCATTAAGAAGTATCGGTTTATTTAATTATGACAAAGCATACTAGGGTTATCTGCCTAAGGGGAGGGATGCCTTTGTGGAGGTCTTTCTAAGGAAAACTGGCTCGCATACACGTTACACGTGGGGATAACCACAAAAACGCCCATTCATTCAGCCAGCCTGTTCGCGGGATTCGAACCTCAGACTGAACTACCAGTGTTCAGCGACTTTACCGCTCGGCCGCTGTTTCATCAGGAGGAAAAAAAAAACATCTTTAGGTGACATCCACATACATTACTGTATAAACTCCTGAATCTTCAATTAATTCAACTGAGAAAATCATGGTATTCTCCATTTATGATACGATATGATGTTCTACAACGTAATTTAAAGTTATACAACCATATAGTCTAAAACCAGTTGCTCTTCCTTTTAATCTACAATGATATCATTTTTGTCTTTTCTGTTAACACAAGCTCAATTGATGGCATTTGCTGGGGTACACGTCCAAGTGTTTTCTCTTTGAACACCTAAATTCTTTGAAGTATCCTGAAAGTATATTCAAATGTCTGACAGCCAAATTTCCCTGCAAATTTTTTCTTACTTTTCTCCCTAATTTTCTTCTTTCTTTCTACAGTTATATTCAGTGCTCACACAAGAAAATTAAGATTTTTCGATTGCTAGACTTCCATAAATTTTGCATTCTTGTCAATTTTTTAAATTATCAATTAATATTTCAATTAAAAGATTTTTTGCTAAATAACAAAGAAATAAAGCAGTCCAGCATGGTTTGTTCTGTACCACCGAGTGACCCGATTCTTATATCGGCTGAAACAATCTAAATCATATTAAAGATCATGTTTTTTTATACAATCTATAACGCGAGAGAAAAATTAGCTTC